AATTTTCCCACAATGAATTACTGGGATTCACCTTATGCGACCTATGGTGACTACATTGCGTAGCCAAGATCTCGAGAACTACATATATAAAAAAATGTCGTAGTCGATTGTTACTGTAAAAAAATGTGCCTTATCTATAATCCCTTTATTTCTGCTCGATCTTCTTCGCCGAATAACAGGGAAATCGACATAATTATGTTTATTTTTAGGCTTTTATTTAGGATAATAGACAAAGTCCAAAAACCTCGGTTTTTGTATATATATATATATAGTTTTATGAAAAAAAGATATTGTAATAATTAAATCCACTACAAAATAAATAAAGACTAAAATCGAGGTTTTTGGACTTTGTCTATTATCCAAAATAAGAGTCTAAAAATAAACACACACTAATTTACGTGTATCCAATTATACGCTTATTTGCTTACAAATTATATTTCAAGTAAATAAGGTGTTTGTTTTTGGGGGAAATTTAAATCAATTATGATTTTATGCTAGCATCATAAAATCATCTCGTTTTTAAACCCAATCAGCTTATACAAAAACCGAGGTTTTTGGACTTTCTCTGGTTGGCGGTTTAAAATAAACATAATTATTTTGTTGATTTACACGTATCCAATTATACGCTTATTTACTTACAAATTATATTTTAGATAAATGAGATACTTGTTTTTAGAGCAATTTAAACTAATTATAATTTTACACCACCTCATAAAATCAACTCATATTTACACCCCATCAGATTATACAAAAACCGAGGTTTTCGGACTTTGTCTATTATCCTAAATAAAAGGCTAGAAATAAACATAATTATTTTATTTATTTCTTACGCTTAAATCATTTGGTGTAGAAGTGAGAAATTTAGATTGAGGTTTTTGTTGTTATTAGTTTTTGTTGTTGTTTTGGATGTTAAATTTGTTTTAATTGTTAAAAATGGGCTTGTCTGATATTTCTTGGGGGTCATCAATTTATTATTAGTTTTTCTTAGTTATTATATTTATGTTTTTTTAATGAAATAAAGTATGGTTTTATAAAGTTTGTAAGATAAAATAGGAACTTGTTTTGCTACTGCTAATAACCTATTTAGGTATGTTAAATATCTAGTTTCTTTAGGTTTATAAGTTAATGTAAATTATTTGTTTTCAAGACAATAAGTGAGCCCTCCGGTTTTTTAATTTGAAAATGAAAAAGGTTTTTATTTTGTTTTATTTAAACCTTAAGAAGATAGGTATTGTTTATTTATTTTTAGGTGTATGATCTGGTTTTATAGGAGTGGAGCTAAGTATGATAATTCGTTTGAAATTAATGAGGCAATTTCATAAGGTTATCTCGATGGAGTTGTATAAATTAACAATAACTAGATATGGTATAGTTATGATTTTTTTTCTTGATGACTGCGTTAATTGGTGGATTTGGTAATATTTTACTACCAATATTTACAAGTCAGGGTGATATGAAGCTTCCTCGAATAAAATCATTTAGACTTTAAATATTAATACCATCAACGATAAGGTTGTTTATTAGTATGTATTTGGGTTCGGGGGTTGGTTGAACTTTTTCTCTGCCTCTTTCTAGAAAGTATTTTTCCGGTAGAGGTTTTGATTATATGTTGATTTCATTGCATTTAGCTGGTTTATCTAGGATGTTGGGTGCATTGAAATTTATTATAACTTGTAATTGTTATTTTTATTCAACTTGTCATTGTTTAGGTTCTATGTTGTATGTAGATTGGGTACTTCGTACGCCAATTTTTATGTAAGGTTATTATTTTACTTCTTTTTTGTTGTTTTTATCTATCCCGATTTGGCTAGGGCTATAACAATGTTACTCTTTGATCGTAAATTTGGAACATCATATTTTGATCATCTTGGTGGGGGTGATTCTATAATGTTCCAATACATGTTTTGTTTTTTTGGACACCCCGAAGTCTATGTTTTGATACTACCTGGTTTTTCGATAATTGGTCACATATGTACGGAACTAAGGAAACGGGAATCACCAGTAGGTTATTTGGGCATGATATTAGCGATGTTTAAAATTGTTGTGTTGGGGTTTATTGTTTGAGCTCTTCATATGTTTACGGTTGGTATGGATATAAAGAGAATATCATTTTTTTGTGCTGTTACTGCTTTAATTGGTATAACAACTGGTGTAAAGGTAATTTTGTGAATATCCATGTTAACTACAAGATTCGTTGGTTTGGGGGATCCCGTGGTTTGATGAATTATTTTGTTTATTGTATTGCTTACACTAGGGGGGATAACTGGAATAGTATTATATGCTTCAAGCTTGGATATTAATTTACATGATTCGTGGTTTTTAGTTGCTTATTTTTATTATCTGTTGTCACTTGGTTCTTATAGAACTGTTATTATTGGAATTTTGTGGTGTTGACCAGTTTTAATTGGTTATAAGATTTCTGAGTCATATGCTCAAGCTCATCGTATAGTTTCAGCTGATTGATTTAATTTGTGTTTTTTTCCAATGCACTATTTTGGGATGTATGGCTTACCACGTCGAGTTTGTGTTTATGATTCATCATTTTATTGAATGAACGGTGTGTGTACACTGGGTAGGTTTTTATCCTCGTTTAGTGCTTGTTTTTTTAATATATATCTTATGAAATGCATTGGTGGAACGAGATTTAGTTGTTAGTAGTTTTCGTAATAGAGGATCTATTATTATAATTATGTCTCGGCCTATGATGTTCCATACCACGTTTCATTGTAAAAGTATAGAAGCGTCATTTGTTGTTAGGACGAGATAGCACCAATAATATAAGTTTGTTAGTATAATATCTTTCCAAGTTAGGTGTTTGGGTTGTCATTTAGTGTATATTATACTTAGTTTAAGATTAAAATTATGATTTTGTAATTCATTGGTGATTAATTTGATCAGTGTGTTAACTATTAAGTCGTATATTGTTATTTTGGGGTTTCGTTTATTTTGAATCATGATAAATCAATATGATTGATTGATGATGAATTGAATGATTGAATTGATGATCAATAAATCAATAGATATAATCAATAATTGTTTTAGATCTAAAAAAACGACGAGTAGTTGTTTAAAAATGATTGATTAGTTAAGAAATTTTATTCAAAATTAATTATAGCTTATTATGATAGTATATTTTGGTTAAAATATTTCTCGATAAGGAGTGGTGTTGGGATCGATTGTTACATGTATATTATATATTCTGTTGGGTTAAAGGCACTCTATAATACAAAAAGCGTTAAAGCTTGAAAACTGGAAGTTAGCAATTGATTTTATTATATCATAATCTAAATAATTTGATTTTTATAATGTCTTAATTAGTACTTATTAAAATATATATATTTTTTTTCTAAAAACTATTTCAACTGTTTATCAAAAACATTTCTTCTTAATATAAATAAGAAGTAGTATCTGCTCAATGTATTTAATATAAATAGCCACATTAGCGTGAGTGCGCTAAGATAGCATAATTAATTGATTTTTAATTGGGAAATTATTTGAATGGTTTAATGGAAGTAGCTAAAAAAAATATATATTTGATTGAATTTAACTTAGAGGTACAGAGGCCTCTGTGTTTTAATAAGACGGGAAGACCCTAGGAATTTTACAATTATATTGTTTTTTTGGGGCAAAGGCTTTTTTTATAAGCTTGTGATCCTAATGGAAAAAGATAATAATTACCCTAGATATAACATAGCAAGAAAGAAACAGAGTTAAAAGTGATTTGTTTATTTGCCACCTCAGTGTTGACTTAAGAATACGATTGGGAGTAGAAGCTTAGTCTGTAAGTCTGTTCGACCTTTAAATTCTTTCATGAGTTGAGTTTAGACCGACGTAAGTCAGCTTGGTTCCTATCTATTGTGGCTTTTCACTAGTACGAAGGGATTGTGCAAATTTTAAATTTACTAAACAATTTTATTCTGGTTTTAAAAATATTTTTAAAATTAAACTGTATAGTTGTGTTATTTGTAATGATTGTTTAGTTGTGAGTATTGTAGACTATCTAGGAGTTGCGGTAGCTTTATTAAATAGTGCAGGACAAAACTCAGTGCTAGCATCCGCGGTTATATTCATTTGCATTTCTTTTTTTACGAATTATTTTAAACTTTTATTAATGAATTAACATGTGGTTTTATATATATGTTAGGTTCTAAACAAAATAAATGTTTTTTAATTTATTATTTTAAACAAGGATTATATATTCTTTTATAAATAGAGTAATTTATATAGTCTCAGTTTTAACTGAAAGAAATTGGCAGCCGATAATATTCGATTTGAGGAATGTGTGATTTAATAGATGTTCCACTAGTTAATTTATTCCTATTATTAGTTAGTGTATATCCGGTTTAGCTCCAAAAACCAAATGGTTTTTGTAAAAATTGGTTTTTTTGAATCCAAGTCAATATGCCGCTTATTTTGCAGGTACAAAAAAAATCCACACTGTTATGTGTCGGATTTTAGGACTCAATATTATTATAAAAAATTGGGTTTGTTTGAATTGGGTTTAGTTGGGGCGCACATCGCCCGTCATCTTCGGTATTTGTTGAAGCAAGTCGTAACATGGTAACCACAGGGGAACCTGTGGTTAATAAAGTGTGTCAGTTGGGGTATATTCATTTAATGGTTCACACATATCTAATGCTTTGACAACTTATGTTGTTATATTAGGTGTTTTTATATCTGTTTGGGTTATAATTTCTATATTTTTAAACATAACATTTAGGGAAAGTGGATTGAAAAAGGCCCCAAGTCGTGGAAGT